CACTATTCCATTGAATGCTTATACCAACATCCTGAGTTTGATACTGTCATTCTCATTTCATTGATAAGGAAATTAGTCGCAGAATAGTTAAGTAATTGGCTCATAGTCACACAGTTAATGAACACAAAACTGTGATTTTAATGCAAATTTGACTTCTAAGTCGTTATCCTAATCACAATGTGAATGTTGACTTTCCACTTTCACTATGAAATGTGAACTATCATTGCATTTGACTGATTTAGACATCAGATATTTGATCAGAATTTATATGCTTAAATTGTCAGATTAAACCAATAGTCACATTTCACATATTTTGCATGTCTAATACCAGCGTCCTGATTTGCCCCACTGGACACCACACAGCCTGTGATAACATGTGATACACAGATGGTCCTTCTGTCTCTGTCTTTTTATTGTTTTCCACTGTCCAAATTTGATAAAATATCATGAAAAATCACTTACTGTTATATGAGTGATTAAGCATTACATGCCAATTACACATGGGGAAATCTGAGTTTCTGAATCTAGACCATGTTAAAACTAATTTTGAAATAAAAATCAGCATCAAAATGTAAGTAACTGATTACTTTCGTAATTGAGAGGGGGAAAGAAGAAAATTAACTGAATTCAGGCAGGACAGAACAGAAAACAGACTTCTCAGCTCTGTCCCTCGTGCTATCCTGAGTCATGCTGAGAACTCAATAACTGAGCCTGGGGTCGGTTAGGAACTGTCCATGTTACTTCATCTAAACCTTACCCTGGCACTTTATAGATAACGAGGCAGACACAAAGCCATGTCTCAGCCACTCTACCTCGCTGCTCCCATCTTTTATTTTAGATATCCAACTGCTACTCCAATTGTCTTTTTGAGTTTTTTTTTTTAAAGATCAATTCTTTGAAGATGTATTTTCTTTATTTTTCTTGCCAACTATGGGTTGTTCGCTTGAGTTCAGTCTTTCAAGGAGCTTGGCATATCCTGCCTTGAGATAACTACAATAACCAGGTACACTTGACATATAATTCAATCCAACATGCATGCTTAATGAATAGCAAGAGATACTTATAAAACTAGTAACAATGGTAACCGTACACGTACTACAAGGAAACTGTTTAGCCTTTAATGTGGCACAGGACAATTTCAGGTTCAGCATAGGCATCCAATATTGTATTTGTTGAATACATGTCAAAAGTCTGATAAGTTGTGTAACTATGTCATATATGAACATGTCTTTTGCAAAAGAAACCAAAAAATCCACTTTTAGATAGTTGTAAAATACATATAATTTACATCTAACTTATCCTTCATTCTGTCCATGTATACACACACACATAAAGGAGATAGGAGTGATTTCTGGTTTATACTGAGATATAGATAGATAGATAGATACTGAGTGATACATATATACATAACACTCAATATAAATCTGAAATCCTTTTATCTTTTTACATATTACCATTTAAATATCAAATTAATTACTTTCTTGCTGTTATTGTTTCCAATCAGATAAGAAAGTATGATTAAGAAAACATAGCTGATGCGTGACAGTACTATAGACTAGTGCTATTAGCCAACTTGCTGCTGTTCTCATAAAAATTATGCAATTTAAGCTGGAAGATAGGAGTGCCTGCTTCCATTAGAAACAAGAACCCTTTTCTACTTCATAATATGCTCAATTACCTTTGGATTGATCCATGAATAAATTATAATCCAAATAGACTTCTTTACCTTAAAGCTTTGCTGGCTTAAGGTATCATTGTTGATTCATTATGTTGTCACTTTTCTATCGGCAATGTAATGCTTTTTATATCTGGATAGAGGCAGGTTTAGTGTGAGATACTGTTATCTTTAAATGAGTAGGATTTAGCTTTTCTGGTGAGAACAAATTCATCCATGATGAATCCCTGGAGAAACTATTGAAACAAAAATCACACCATTTCTGAGCTTTGTTCAGTTCGTCAGTTACAAAGCAGCTTTTGATAGTCCTGAAAAACTTTTCCCTTTGTTTAAGAAATATAGCATGATGCTCAAACCTCTCACTTTGAGTTACCGCGGGCTACAACTTTTTCTGTAAGAAAATAATGAATGAAGAGGAGAAGCCCTGCTGCTGTCTCTGTCAGGTCCTGCTGCTTCTCCTTCTGCAACAGGAAATCAATTAACTATATGTTCAGGCAGAAGTTGAACTAAATGCTTTATCAATCATCACTGATTGTGCGCGCATACACAGTGGCCAACTATGCATTTATCTTCACTCTTTCTTAGTTTTATTTTGCTTGTTTTCTTTTTCTTTTATTTTTGCAAGATCAAACCAAAATGTATGCCTAAATGTTTGCATACAACAATAACAAAAAAATGTTACGCACTTAAATTTTAAGACTAATGAGGAAAGCAGAAATGCCTAGGGCAACCTTGAAGTTTTGGAAGCCAGTACTTTACCTTAGCCTCTGTGATTTCCACACAGCAGCACAAAAATGAACCAAATTCAATGTAGAGATGACTGGTGGAAAGTTGAGGGAGCACTCATTGATATTTTCTGTGTGTGTGCTTTCAATTTAAATAAAAATTTGGCGAGTTTTCCTTTTTGTCTATATATTCTTCTATCCAATGCACAAAGAAAAGCCTATAGAAATCTTTATGTTAAATTAAACTTCTTTTTAGTACTAATTATACAAGAGTAGCATACTAGAATTTTAGCGCTGTTACCCATTGGCGTGCCGCGTGATGTAATTTATATGTGACAAATGTGCAAACATATGACAGAAACTCTCAGGCTGTCAGCTCTTTACTGGGGCTGTGCTCCATTCAGCATCAAGAAACGTTCAAATACTTACCATCAGTATTATTAGCATTGTTGGAACAACGTAAAATCATTATGTTTAAGTTTAGCTACCTTCTCTTTCTCCATTTGGACAAAGAATAGCCTAAATTGAAAAAAAAAAAATTATCCTCTGATCTATGTTTAAAAGGAAATAGACCAAAACGTTCTAAGAATGATTTCCTTTGAACAGCCTTCCCAGAGCTCTTAGGTGAACGTAGATGGTGTTAAGCATGGTGAGGCCTGATCATGGCACTTGTGTAAGGGATCAGATTTACATGAAGCTTGCTAATATGAGGGGTCTGCGGGAACCAGAGCCTTGTGTCTCAACAGTCAGCCACTCTTGATAATCTCCAAACCGATTAAATCGGGACTGAGGTGATCTCGATGTGTAAGAGCAGTGTGGAGAGTGCCATTCTGACAAGCCTTAGGTCCTGTGGACCTGCATTCACCACCTTTTGAGGTGTTATCTGAACCCCAGGGGCATTACTGTGGCACCAAGTATAATCCCTAACACCTCATCTGCCCCAGGAAAAAGTCATTTCACAAGAGGACATTTCAAACAAGCTTTATCTTTTCTGTATTAAGGAGGCTTATGCAAGTGGTAAGTATTGAGGATTTGTTTTATACTTGTATTTATTTTATGTTTTTAACAAGTTGTTATCACTTGTCTTACAGTAAAATAGATACAGAATATTAATCTCTCCCACCACCATGTTGTTTCATATTACTGCAACTAATGGTTAGTTAAATATTATCATTTAGGAAGACATTAAGGTGTGGAGATGAAGTACATAGTTCCAGTCTAATTGCAGATAAATTAATTTGGCATTCATAACATTGTTTCCATTTACTTGACTTGTTGACATAATTATAGTGAATTGATAATGGAAGTAACAATTTTAGATATTTCCACATAAATATGTTCTGCTAATATAAATTTACAGTTGCCGTTTGCAGTTTGGCTTAATTGGAACATGGTTTAAGTTCAGTTTACCTGCACTGCTGAGATCTCCAGAGGGCCAAAGAACTCATTTTCCTGGGGCATTATGCAACCTGGCAAGTAGAAGTCAGAGTTTTGAAACAAGTGTGATTTTTCACCTAAGTACCTGCTAGGTCAAAGGTCAGGATGACCTTGGAGTGCAATCATTTTCCAAACCTCCATCAGTTAGATAAATGGATTTTCTTCGGCAGGAGAGAAGGTGTTTTTGCAGTCTTACAAAAAGAGACCCAGCAAGTTCAGGTTACAGGCTGACGGAAAACATTTGAAATTCAGTAGTGTCTTCAGCTGCAGTATGTGCCAATAAAAGTGGAGATCAAAGGTCTAGAAGAGGGGAAGGACAAAGTGGAGAGGAAATAATTGTGGGATAATGAATGGTGTGAGGGCATTTTCATGTTAACTTGAAACCACTTAGCATTTTTCCATGACGCCCAGGTAGCTTTCTAAATGAACTTTCTAAAGTACAATTGAATAACCTTGAGATTTAAAGCTCCGTGATGTGATTTTTGAATACTGATGGAGTTTGTTTAAGCACTGTAATATTTCCTCTGCTTTTCATTTATATTTTTGCCTCCTTCATGTAAAATACAATTTATTTTCGGTACAGAGAAATCAATATTTTCGCCATTTTGTTTTTCAGCTATTCCAGTAAATTGCAATCAACATTAGTTACAGTCTTTAAAGAGATGTAGTAAGAATTTGAACACAATGAAATAGAGATACAAATTAGAACTTTGGCAGAGTACCTTTGCTATTGACAAAAGCATTTGTCAGGGACTACAGCTGTGTCTATAACGTGCTAAAAACCTGATGAAAGGGGAAAAAAGCATCAATAGGTTTCACCTTCTGTCTATACAAGCCAAACAAATGGCTTAACTAATAGCTATTGTTTTAAGTGAATGGATCTGGTCTGCCATTGTGAACTTTATTCCATTTAGAAATGTATTTTAATTAGCATTTGTATCTCTACAGCATACATATTTGGTAAGAGCACTGTGCTCTGTGTTCTTTTTAATGACAAATGGAATCTGTTGCCTAGCAATCCAAGGAGTGAAGACTTGTTGCAGTGTACATGAAACCATCCTCAGACACCCGTTTGTTTGCTGATAGTATTTATGTGTTTATATCCTCCCATTTATCTCTTCTATGAGCTAACATGCTTTCTTATTTGTGTGTTTTTCTTTTAGAAACTGCCAAGTTTTGGACCTTATCTTGAACTGCGCAAGAAAATCATAGCAGAAAACAAGATTAAACTGAAAGAACAAAGTAGAGCTTTTTCACCGCCTGAGAGAAAGCTTTTTATCCCCAAAAGGCCTATTCCTGCCATCAAGGTAAAAATTAAGCCATATACATGAGTATGTCTGTTATACTGTTTAAGTATACAAATATACTTAAAATGTTTATTCACTGTTTAAACTTATCACTGACTTTGTTTTAAAAATATACTGAAAATTTTGAAAGTTCTATGTTGAAAATGCATGTAAACTGCAAAATAATCTTTTTTTATTTATGTATTTTATTTGTAAATGTTACACTTTTTAGAGCACTGTCAAGCATGCATTTCATGGAAATTTTCATATATATTAAGTGTGCCAGGAGATAGTAAGGTGAATTTTTTGGCTTCTTCCAGTCATTTTAAAATTATTTTAATCCACAGTTAACCCCAAGAGACCTCATATTAGTCACACAATGCAACTAAGTTATCAATAAACAACATAAGTATCAATATAATACCTTACATTTTGGAAAAATAATTGTCTGGTTTGTTTGATCTCTAGAAAGCCTGTATGTTTATTTGGGTCCTGGGAGATTATTTTCTGGGTCATAATAGAAATGACATATATGTTACCTTTCTTGTTTTTTTTTTTCTGTAAGCTTTTTATTTTGGGAAAAATGTAGACTCACATGCAGTGATAAGAACTAATGCAGCGAGATCTTGTTTCCCCTTTATCTAGTTTCCCAATGGCAGCATGTTGCAAAACTAGTGCAAGATCACAATCAGGGTGTCAACACAGATGCAATCTGACAATCCTGTTTGGATTTATCCAGTTTTTCCTCCACTCATGCATGTATGTGTGTGTGTGTGTGTGTGTGTGTGTATGTACATACATGTAGTTAGCTCTGTGCATGTTTGTCATGCATGTCAGCCGGTGCATCCACCACCACAGTCAAGATGCCCATCACCGTCAGGATTCCTCGTGTTGTCTTTGTGTAGACACGACCACTAAGATAGAATTGTTTTAAGATGGTCATCATGATAAGATAGTGTCATTGAATGACATTCCCTTAGAAACCACCACCCCTAAAATGTGACTAATTCTTCTCTGTGTGGTGACAGTCAACTCCCATAGCACCATTCACTGCTTGAAGCATCCGCAAAGAGGCTTGCTATGTGCTCTCAAGCAGTCCTCACTGACATCCATCTCAGTAGTCAATGGGAGATGGAAGCCTTAAAAATTCCCTCTACCAATAAGGGAAAAAATGTGTCTCATGCTAGGTCCCAGGCTGGCACAAAAACTAAAGCCCTGCTCAGTGGATGAGAGTGGATGAGTTAGCCAAAGATGCTCTTTGATGATTCACTCCTAGCCATGCATGAATTGTCAGTCCCATGCAGGAGGAGTCCTCAACAGGGTACAGAACTTTGGGCAACCTCAGCCCAAGTAGCAGGGGAGGGGAGAAAGACCCATGCTGGGTCAGCCATGGTGAACAACACTTTCCACCAGACTGGTGACTCATGGATGGAGAGGGCCTGCCTGCAGAGTGAACCTGACAGATGCACACTGCCAGTGGTTGGTGCCCATACACCTAGTCACATCAGGAAGAGCCCCCTCAAGCCCTGTGTCCCAGTAGGGCAGAGCCTGGTCCCTCCTCCACAGCAGAAATCCAGCTCTATTTCAGAGTGTGGATCTGAGAAAGAGGGTGCAACCTGAGGGCCCTCTCAGTGGGAAGACACCTTGGCTGTAGGCTGCAGTCATCAGATGGGAGACTTATCCCCTCACTCACTATTCACAAAGTGTGAGCAGCGGTGGCTGAAAGCTGATCTACCCAACCTAGCATCAGGTGAGAAATTCTGCAATGACAGAAACCTGCCACAAAGAAGAGCAATGAGCAAATGTGACTGCCCACCCACCCCCCCACACACACTAAGTGACATATATTGAACCACAGAAAGTACTCTAAAACCAAGGGTAATCAAATAGCTTCAGAATTTTAAATTAAAATATAAAGTATAGAGAGTAAAGAGAGGCCTGACACAAATGGGGAAAAATCAATGAAAAAATACAAGCAACCTTCAGAGTTCTAAAGATGCAGCACCAGAAAAAGCAGCTACCATAACATAAACAATGGAAACTGCACAGAATGACCTGCCCCAGATGACACCCATGTAACCAGAGATTAGACGGCAAAAGTGAACAGGAACCAAGATAAACTAGAGGCAAAACTAGAGGTAACACAATTTTGAAAAAACCCACTCTGAAATAATATAAATGAAAAACTTCATCCTAGAAATTAAGAACACACTAGCAAGCATAGAAAGGAGGGCCAATCAGACAAAGGAGAGAATCTCAGAGACTGTAGACCAAAATATGAAATTAATCCAGTCTGTCAAAAACATAAACCAAAAGCTTAAAATGAAGGAGCAAAACCTCCAAGAGATGTGGGACTATATCAAGAAGCCAAACCTGTGCCTGATTGGTATGTCTGAATCAGAAAGAGAAATGGAAAACACCATGGAACAATCATTCCATGAGGTTATTCAATAAAACTTCCCACATCTATCCAGAGATGAATCTCAAGCACAGGAGATTCTGAGAGCCCCGCAAGATATCATATAAGAAGACCATCCCTGAGGCAAATAGTAATCCACCTCCACAAAATAAGCATGAAAGAAAAAATCCTAAAGGCAGTGAGAGAGAAAGGCCAGAATACCTTTTAAGGAAATTCCATCATAATCACTTCAGACTTATTTGCAGAAACACTACAAGCCAGAAGAGACTGGAGTCCAATTATTAACATTCTTAAAGATAAGTCATTCCAGCCAAGAATTTCCCACCCTTCCAAGCTAAGCTTTATCAGTGATGGGGAACTAAAATCATTCCCAGACATTCAATCCCTAAGAGATTATGCCACCTCCAGACCAGCACTTCAGGATATACTTAAGAAATTGTTGAACACAGAAAAATAAAAGAGCAGTCATACCCATCACAAAAGTACAGGCAAGCACAGATCTAACAGAGCATACAAAGCACCCCAAAAAATAAAAGTGCGAACATATATAAATACAAAAGTAAAAAGGAAACAAAGCAACCCCTTAAGAGCCTTATGACAGAGATGAATTCTCATGTTTCAATAACCAATTTGAATGTGAATGGGCTAAATGCACCACTGAAGAGACATAGAGTAGAAAACTGGATAAAAAAGCATGATCCAGCAATCTGCCTCCAGGAAACTCATCTCACTGCAAAAGGCACACATAGGCTCACAGTTGGAAGCTGGAAAACAATCTTTCAGGTGAATGGAAAACAGAAGAGGGCAGTCATTGCTATTCTGATAACAAACAAAGCAGTCTTCAAACCATCAAAAGTTAAAAAGGATGTGGAAGGACACTACATAACGGTAAAAGAGCAATCCACCAGCAAGAAATATCCATCCTCAACATTTATGCACCCAATAAGGAACAGCAGTTTTTAGAAAACAACTACTAAGTTATCCAAGAGAGAACATTGACTCACACAATCATAGTTGAAAACCTAAGATCATCAAGACAAAAAAACAACAAGGATATCTGGATAGATAGATAGATATCTATAGATAGATAGATCATCAAGATAGATAGATCATCAAGACAAAAAAACAAAGATATCTGGAACCTCAACTCGATGCCCAACACATCAACAGATGTAAAACTAAGAACCATATGATTATATCATTATACATAGAAAAAGCATTCAACAAAATTCAGCATCCCTTCTTGATTAAAATAAATCCCTTGAGCACCTAGGTATAGGAGGAACATTCCTCAAAACAGTAAGAGCAATCTGTGATAAACCCACAACCAACATTTTGCTCAATGGACAGAAGTTGAAGCATTCCCCCTAAGAACAAACCAAGGATGCCTACTGTCACCCCTTCAGTCAACATAGTGATGGCAGTCCTAGCCAGAGCAATCAGGTAAAAGAAGGAAATCAGGAGTATCTAAATAGGAAAAGAAGAAGTCATCCCTCTTTGCAGACAATATGGTTCTGTAGCTTGAAAACCTGAGGGAGTCTGTCAAAAGCCCTCTTACACTGATAATTGACTCTGGCAAAGTTTCAGGGTACAAAATAATGTGCAAAAGACAGTTGCACTTCTATACCAGCTATAGGCAAGCAGAGCACCAAATAAAAAGAACAATCCCATTCACAATAGCTACAATAAAATGAAATACCTTGGCATCCACCTAAGTAGAGAAGTGAAACATCTTTGCAATGAGAACTACAAAACACTGCTCAAAGAAGTCATGGTGATACCAACAAATAGAAAAACATCCCATGCTCCTGGATTGGAAGAGTCAGTATTGTCAAGATGTGCATTCTACCCAAGACAATCAACAGATTCATTGAAATACCCATCAAATTACCAACATCATTTTTCTCAGACCTGGAAATGACAATACAGTAATTCATATGGAAACAAAAAAAGAGCATAAATTGCCAAAATAATCTTTAGCAAAAGGAACAAAGTGAAAGATATCACACTTCCAGACATTATAATTTACTACAAGGCTCCAGTAACCAAAAAAAAGCCTGGTATTGGTACAATAATAGGCACATAGACCAATGGAACAGGACAGAGATTCTGGAAGCAAGAACTTGGTCTCTCAATCAATTCATCTTCTACAAAACTACTAATAACAACCACTAGGGAAAGGAGACCATATTTAGTAAATGGCACTGGAAAAACTGGCTAGCCACATGCAGGAGAATGAAACTAAACCCCTACCTATCACCATACACAAAAATCAACTCTAAATGAATCAAAGACCTAAACATAAAACCTCAAACTATAAGAATCCTAGAAGAAAACATCGGAAGCACCCTTATGCACGTGGGGTAGGCAGTGAATTCTTGACCGAGTCCCCAAAGGCAAATGCCATGAAAACTAAGACAAGTGGGACCTCATCAAACTGAAAAGCTTTTGCACAGCAAAACAAACCATGAAGAGAGTAAAGAGACAGCCCACAGGATGGAAAAAAAATAGCAAATTATGTATCTGACAATAATGACATAACATCCAAGATCTACAAGTAACTCAAACAAAGTGAAAGGAAAAGAACAATCAACCCCTTTAA